GACGTCGTATGTTGTGATTTTGCGATGATCGTCGAGCGCTGCGGTAGTCGACGGGACTTGGAAGGAAAAATGAAAAATGCTCGTGAAAGCGGAGGACGGAAAGATCTGGCGTTTGCGCCTGTTGACATGGGCATTCTTGTTTAGGTGTTATCTCTTAGGTAACGAGATTTTAGCGGCAGCGCTTGCGTTGCGGCAAATTGTTTTTAACTCTTATATTCCGAAGGCATACTAATGGCCGCATGAACTTAATCATTCATTTAATGCTTATCAATTTCTTACCCGTCGATTTGCTTTTCTTGTAAATTATGCGAAACATAAGAGAATTAATGACGTTTACGACTTTAGATATTCACGTTAGAAAAAAATCCTTGTTTACATTATATTTCGTGTGCTATTGATTGAGAACTATCGTAATGATAGAGCCGTTCTGATAATTTTATAAAATTTATTATCCAAATGCAATGGGACAATTTTATTATCCAGTTCTTCTCGCGTCTTGGGCGTATGTAGTAATTAATCCGTGATAATATTTTTTTTGTTTTTTTTTTTTTTCTCCGCCGAACAGAAATATGGAGTGAAATATGTATATTAACGATACATTGACCGTTATGAAGTAGCGTTAAATGACAGTCATAAGACAAATGACATTTCCATACTTTTGCCGATTGCCGTGCGTATTCAGGGGGTAAAAAAAATTGAGCATTTGTTGAAATATTACAGTGCCTGTCAATTTTAGACAAAAATTATACCGCAAAACATATACAAAATATATATAATTAATATAATATATTCATAAAAGTAGATAACTGCCACAACCAGTCAAACGAATATTTAGAGAAGTTAATGCGCTGGCTTTGTAAAAAAAAAAAAAAAAAAAAAAAAAAAAAAAAAAATTCAAATGTGTTAATCAAATTCAACTTAATTATTAAGAAGGAAACATTTTATTCTGGAAAATGGCCTATGGAGCAGCACATTAAAACTTTTTAGCTTACAGCATTGGTTTTATTTGCAGCTTCGAAACTTGTAATTTTCTCTTCCATGCTTTTACTCAATAATTAATGAAACATGAAGCCATGGCAAACGTACTTTCATTATGATTGAGAATAAGAAAGAAAAAATGGACGTTTGGTGTATCGCTTTCAAAATCAACCATTTAAAGAAAATTTATGCGCTCCTTAGCGTGAGCCTCTTCATTTTTGACAGCTCGTTTTTCAAATGATGCATAAAGCCTCGGCGTTCTTCTCACCGAAAGAAGACTGAAAAATAATCGCCCGTGCACCCGTGCCGTGAAGGCAGTTTCGTAACAAAAATACGTGCTCCTTTCCACATTGAGTACAGCCGAGTTGGAGGAATTTGTCAAGTACGCGATTAGCACGTGCTCGCGAAAACAATGCGGTTTTAGCCATAAATAGAGTTTTTCACGTTTCCTGACGGCTGCACGCATCATATTATTGAGAGAAGTCGCTCCACTCCCATAATATTCATCTTAGGTGCACACAAACCTCTAATAGGACAAAAAGATGATTGCTATCTAGGAAAATTTATATTGCGAGATTTGTCTACGATTCTCTTAATTTTTTTCTTCCTTTTTTTCCCCCCATTCTTTTATTTATATATTGTAGTTGTAAATACTCCTATATTGTTCGAACCTAATTTCGAACCTAAAGTATCATATAATCAATAAAATGATCAAATATCAAGAGAATAAATAAATGTGTAAATAAAAAATTAAGTAAAAACGAAAAGAGATTTAAGAATTTGACGAGATATAGCTGTTTTATGTTAAATAAATAAAAAGATCGATTGTAATTAATGGTAAATTAATTCATAAACTGGAGCCAGTATTATGTGTATTTTTTCCATAATTTCATAAATTCGACGATTTAGTTTTCATATTGTAATATATTATAAAAAAAAAAAAAAAAAAAACAAACATGTTGTTACTTTGTTTGGCAATTTGTATTTACACTAAATATAAAAGCTTATAATAGTAATTATTTGTTATAATATTTCATTAAATTGTATTGAAATGTTTTCAACAACAAAAAAATTAAGCTTTTTCTAAGATTATGATGCCATAATAATAATTTTGAGTTTTCTCGTCGTATATAATTATCGTTAATTTTTATTAATATAGAGGTAACTATAAGTAAATAATACCAACAAATATAGTTTTTATGGTAAATTTGATTGAAAGGAATGAATAAAATACATTACTGGAATAACCCGATACCCAATGAAATTATTGCAATACAAAAACAATATGAGATGGCAGTTAAAAATTTTAGGCCATAGGATACGAAATTTGAGTGAAATTATACTTTAATAATTAAATGTTAATTAATTTGTTTTAGTAATAATCATGTAATTGCATTATTTAACGATGAACTGGATCTGTTATGACATATATATGATTGTTAGCATGTGTATCTTATTTCACAAGCCTTTTAACAAAGTAAAACCGTTTTATTTATTTTTTTTGTTTTATTTTATTTTATTATTTATTTATTTATTTTTTTTTTTTTTTCATTAAATCGATCCAATTTCATTAAACTTGAGAATTTAAGTTATCATTCAAATGATTCACAATATGACAGATATTTAGAAAGCATTTTATGTCGTGTAAGTTACGCTCATTTACATATCGAACTTTCTGAAATCTATTTGCAATGCTTTCTGTGCTACTTACAGAACATAAAATGAGCAAACACTATTGCATACGTGATTTAAAATTAAATTATTACAATGAATAAGTGATACAGAGTAATTTCATAGATGTTCATTTCTAACTTGTTTGCCAAATTAGTATTAAAAGTTTTCGTCATGCTCCTGAAAGACTATGTAGAATAAACTTGAAATTTTTTCATGCATTATCAATGTATTTTACATACGGGAATAAGTGAAAATAAGTGGGAGGATGGATAAATAAAATTGTTTGCTTTTTTACGAAAAACATTGTTATCTCATAATTCTTCCTAGCAGAATGAAATACGAATTAACGAAGACATTGTAACTGTAAATTGACATTATAATATTATTCGTATATTATATTAATTATATATTTATATAATTATATATTATTTCTATATAAGCTCGAAAGGAATAATTTTACAACTTTATGCAATTAGAGTTATGACTAATACCAAGAATTTTTTGTCAACTATAATACAACTCATAATTGTAAAATAGAAAAATTGAATTTTTTGGCCGGGATGATGGTGCTATATATTTCATGAATATTTGTGTCGTTAACGCTCATATGCTAAAATTTTAAGAAGAAAAAGTTTTTAAAATATTCCGTTCCAACGATTACTTAAAAAACTAATTATACATGTTATAAAGCTAAGTCCCAGATTATATTCTCGTAATATATGATTTCAATTAAACAAAATTCTTTAAAAACAATGAAAAAATAAATAAAAGCCTGTGTTACAATGTGTTTATTACATTTTTAATGCAATAATTGTATTTTTCTGCTATTTGAATCTAGTAATGGGAATGCACATTTTTTATACAGAATAATATTTCGTTAAGTTTTTTAAAACAGTTTTTAATAAAATGTTACAATCGTTCATTTGAGAAAAATGTTCGTATATTTCTTCAATTTTAATTCCCTTTAGCATAATGATGTAAGTAATTTTTCTTATAAACACCGAATCATCTTCTAATATTTAACATTTCTCTAATTACATATTCATCTACAAGCAATACATAAAAAATTCTATCGATCATGGTATTTCATATAACGGTTGTCGTCATATTATTACGACTTAATGAAAAATCAAGTTCATTCGAGCAAATAATTGACTTGATTGAACATATTGAAATTCGTATTTGACTCTTCGAATTATCGTTCATTAACCATAAACAAACACGTACTATATTAATCGGACTGGATTTAAATTTGTATTCGAATCACCGTTAAAGTGTATACTTGATTTATCAAAATTCAAAATTCTTACACGTAAATAATGGTCACCACAATTAGCAAAGTGGCTCGATAAATTTCAATATATATATATATATATATATATATATAATGTATAATTTATAATTTGACGATACTTCCATCTTGCCTCGATCCAACTAAAATACGTCTTAAATTTTCATTAAACGCCTATTACATATCTTATCGCCTTAAAACTAACTAAATGGTAATTCATTCTCTAGTCCATATGCCAATTACACCCATAAAATCCATTAAAATCCACGATACACAACAGGATCCGGCAGCCGCGCTCAACATTCACACGAGATATGTGTAATCGACAGTAGGCGAGTCGCCGCCCGCCGGCACTTACACCTCCCCAAGCCCGAGAAACAAAATCGCATTATTACCGCCAACTGCTTAATAAATCGAGTGCTCAGTCGCGTGAAAGAGCGACTGTTTATGCCGAAATGGTCCGAGGGCGCATCCGCTCCCGGAAGTCGCGCGAGTACCGTGACCACGGACCCCCAGGCCCCCGGCCATATCCCGACCGAGCCTCGCCACCCGAGGGATCATCCTCAGGCGCTTGTCTCCCGGCGAGCGCTGGCCCCCCACCTCCTCAGTCTGCCACTCGGAAGAGGCGCTCTCGTGCAGCCGCGCCGTATAAAACCAGTGAAAGCGGCTGCCGGCCCTCCAGATTGCCGCAGCACAGTCTGTCAGCGACAGCAGCCACGACCAGACACGCACCTCCGCTGCACACCCCCACTTCGTCTTCATCTCCTCTTTTCGCCGCTCACGCACACACACACACACACACCCGCTACCCATCTCCCGACACCCATCAAGCACAGGCCTCACACACTAACACACGAGAATACCAACACACGCGCACGCGCGCACACGTATGCAAACACATACGCACACGCATATAAAAGTCATTCCCTCTCGCTTCGATCGTCTGCCTCTCTGTATTAAAAGTGGCGTGCCAGTTTTATCATACGCGTCGGTGTAAGGAGTGATCGTTTATTTGAAAAAAAAAAAAAAAAAAAAAAAAAAAAAAAAAAACCGCGACTCGATAATCTTACCCCGGCAGTGATCATGAAGACGATGCTCGTACAGTTGTTGGCTATTGCACTTGTTGCCGGTAGCCGAGTATCGGGTTATCCGCAGGAGCGACTCATTGCAGGTGAGTCTCCGCCGTGCATTTTGATTCTACCGAACAGTTAGTTTGTGAGTGTTGTGCATCCGTGACTACACTGTTATTGTGCATTTCGTGATTCGCGTTGACTGCTGCATTTTTTCCATTGTACCGACGACATCGTACTAACATCGTGCGATGTCAATGGGCACGAAACAATGTTTTTCTGTTCTTTTTTTCTTAATGCACATTTCCATAATTATCGTATCGATTGTTGACATCATATCGATCATCGAGACTATCTGGTCGACTACTTTTACTTAATTACTGATTTCTTTTAATTACTATTTTGAATGAATATGGCATCAATTGACAATCATTAGTCCCGGTATTTCCATTTTTTTCTTTTTTTTTTATTTATTTATTTTTTTATTTTTTTATTTTTTTTTTAATCCATTTACCAATACTTAAATTATCAAAAGCTTATCTGACAAAATTTTGTAAAAGTAATGTCCAATAAAATTGAATGTAATTTTATTTTACATATGCAAAAGAAAAAAAAATTAGCCATAACTAGAGATTCCTCACAAGTATATATCTTATTTCTCGAAAGATACGAATTCAAAATACCATAAAGCTAAATAAAAATTAGAATTTTTAATTAAATAGGCAAGCATTGTTAATGTAGTTAATCGCGGTATAATAATTTTTATTAAAAATAAAAGTAAAGCAATTAACAAGTGTTATATTAAGTAAATGTCTTTTCCAAATGCAAAAGATTTTTCTATTCTATCCAAGTGGACTTGGATGCCACTTAAATTTTTGGAAATATTAATATGTGTTAGTGGTAGCGTAGGATGAGCAAGCAGCATTCATGAAATATTTTTTAATTTTTTCAAGCTCGGTAGCGTCAAATTAACGATATCAAATATCTAGACAATTTCCTAAAATATGAAAAGAATTTTTGAGTGCAGCTTCTAGATTTCTCACATTTACATCGATGAAGCACATTACTTTACATTTATCTTCTGGAACAGACAATCGCTGCAAAATTGTCATGTCTAAAACAGCAACGCGTCTGACAAATTTTCAAAGAAATACTAAATACTGTGCTATTGTAAAAAGAGAGAGAGAGAGAGAGAGAAAAAAAGAAAAAAGAGAAAAAGAAAAAAAGAAAATTGAAAAGTTGCAGTCTAATAAAACAAATTAAAATATTACATTCAGTCTTATGTACAAAGTTCATGGTTGCATGTCTTACACAATACAAACATCTAGTTGCAAAGGCTGGTTGGTATCCTTGATCAAATGTAGAATAATAAGATAAAATAAGAAAAATGTCGGTGTGACGCCCTTTACATATTTCCATATCGATCTCTCAACTATTACGTGAACAATGGAGAGCTCTAGGCATCAATTTTCAATTATACTATCAATGTCGTACGCCTTTATGAGTAAAATCTCGTGAAATTAATCCTCCAGGATTAATAAGGTGCGAAAGCATTCTTCGCATACTGTAACATTGAAATATTTTGTCCGTTAAATTTATTGTGCATTTTTCGATTTCTTCAAAGCAGTAATATTAGGAAGGAATATTTAGGCTGATTTGGTGTAATAAAGTTTATTAACAAATTTTCATTAATTGTTTTCTATCAGTACCATATTTTTTAAAATATTTATACTCAATATTTAAGAAAAATAATAATAAAATTATTTTTAATATAAATTATTCATGAAAGTCTTGTATAAATATAAATGTTAAGCTGTAGATGGCTATAATATAATAAAATAACATTGTATTCAATTGTCAATTTTTTTTTTTAATAATTTTTTTGCCCCACCCGATATAATGCTCAAAATAAATAAGATATTCAAGATATTCTTTTTTACATCTTCAAGTATCCCATTTCATTACACCTATAAGTAATTATTCTGTAAATAAATGGCTTTAACGAACCTTTAATAAACAACTATATGTCGACTGATCGATACATAATCATGGGCAAATGCTTAGACATTTGTCGTTTGGTAATACCCGAATTAAAATAAGCCCATGTACAATAATACTTTTATGCACGTTCGATAAGAAAAAGGATGCACAGATACTACAGACACCGAAGCACCCCTTATCTTACCCCATATTGATTATGTAAACAAAAATCTTGTAGCAATTACAATACCATTATACAATTACAATACCTTCGTATGTAACCAATTTCTGGGTCAATTATATAAATCTCTATATCAATATTATACGCAACTTTCATTAATTTAAAAATCAAATGCTGGCACCTACATTAATATACCAATAAATAAGAAGCAATGAAAACATTAAGAAAATCGAGCCTGAGAAACTTGTAATTGACAAGCTGTCGAGGCAAATTCATCGCTTAAGAAAACTAGATCGATCCGCAGCCTGATAACAGCATTCGAGATTTAATTCTCCGGGACGATTACACGTGTGCGCTCGTTGTTTTGGCCAACGCATTCGTGCGGAAACACCTTTATTTATGCACTCGCGAAAGTAGTCCACTTTCATCGGCGGTGCAAATATTCATCTGAATACACATGAGAGAAGACATCTCCGCCGAGTTATGCTATAGTCTGGCCATAAAGCAACATCACTTTTCCTTATGACGCCCTTGCACGCGCTTTCCCACTTTACGTAAAATCGATTAATATCGATGGAATTTTGGTCCCGTAACGTTGGTATATTCACGGCATCGAGCTGAGCGTATTAGTGCTGATAGAGAAAGTTTACAGCATCTACGGATACTTTATTGGATTTTTAGATGAATGACAGTAGCCAAATTATGTGAATTAATGTAAAATGCCAATTAAATGATATTAAATTGGCAAGCTTAACGTTGACGTATACACGTACTCTATTATTAATTACTGCATAAACGTATTTTTATTTATAAGATGTGCGAGCGTATATGTGTTTACGTATAAGTTGGCCATAATTTCAATGAACACTAAAGCATTTGATGCTATTCAATTACATATTTAAAAAATAAAGTGCATCGATAAATTTTTGAATTGCTCGATAAAGTCGAAATAAATGTTGATAATGATGCTCGAAATCCAATTTTAGATCTATTAATGTAGTAACTGATATTTTAATATTCATATCCAAAGAAATTATATTTGTTAAATTGCCACGTTTAAAACATAATATTCTTTTTAATGATTTTCTTAATATGATTCGGAAATTTGTAACATATTTCCCTAACCACTTACGTCAAGTATATACTCTTAAGTATATAATCCAAACACTTTTCATGTTTGTCAAATGAAGTTATTAAACTTTTAGAAGCATTTTATTATTTCAAAATGGACGTTTGATGTTAAAAAATCAAGCCTAAGTGAATTTAAACGTAAAATTTGAAAGATTAAATATTAGTTATTTTATTTGAAAAGAAGAGATTATTAAATATATATATATATATATATATATATATATATATAACCGATGTAGTGTTAAATATGCTGTTGATTAATAAATAAATTCAATACGTATTTATAATTAAGCTTGAAAACATAAGATTATTTGTTTGGACGTTAAAGTTTTGAATTACAGGCCATTAATTAACACGTTGAGTTTCAATTATAAAACGTATTATCGTTAAATTGCCAGCTCTGCGCATATAAATTATTTGAAATATTAAATATTTTAATAATAGAGAATCGATTATAGTATAATATAGTATGATTTAAAGGGTCAACCGCTCATTACAGTCTCTCTATGGCTCCAATGGCTCCAATGGCTCCAATTGTTTACAATAATCGGTGTTTCATTGAAATAGAAAAAATGGAACAATGCACAGCTATTTGTGCCAATTTCTTATTAAGATAACGAGCAGATCCAATATATAATGGTCAGAGATCTAATTGGTCCAGCGAGAGGAGCAACGGTGATTATTTAAGGTTAATCTGATCTCATGAAAGGAAAAAGAGGAACGTTCCGTCGCAAATTGATAATCGTAGATGTCAACCGGAGGCGACATACGCGTTATTATTTCTCATCGTTACCAACACGTATGTAATTGGACTTATAATCAATTAGCCCTCATCTATGAGGTGACATTTGCTGTTATTTTCTAATAAGCTGATTAATTTATCGAGTTGAAGTTCTAAGCTACTAATTAGCTTAATGGCAGGGAACGTGATCATATTTGAATTGTGATAAACGGAATCGAGTGTCTAGTACTATCCACTATGCGAAAAGATTATTATTTACAATAAATTATTATTTACATAATAGTACGATAAGCATTTATATAAAACGATTAAGGATACGATTCTTAATAGATTCAAATAGATTTTTATGAAAAACGTTTTCAATTAAGGATAAAATTATCCAATAAAATGACAAAGGCAAATTCATCTACAATACACACGGAAAATCAACAAACTTATTAATTTCATTCAATAATTAGGATTTCATTTAATTAATAGAGATTAGAAATGTGTAAGAATATCATTTTTAGTAATAAAGACTCAACAATGATGAAAATTTTTTCTTATAAATTCATTTGCCAATACCATTAGTACCTATAATTATTTTTGAAATCTTTAAAACGTATATATATATCGCCAAACTAATTACAAGTGTTGGATATGTCATGTTTACTAATTAAAAAATAAAATAAGATAAAATAAACTAAAAGTGGTAAGAACTCGAAATCCTTCGCCGTCAATCGGCAACTCCAGTTTCACTTAAATCTAGCCAATAATACGACCAACTCCTAACTAACCTCAACATAGTGCGTTATTTCTCGCTCTTGACTTTTTTTTTTTTTTTTTTTTTTTTTTTTTTTTTTTTTTACATCAAGGAAAAAACCATGTAACATTCGGCTCCGACTAGCAATAATTCTTAAGGCCCTTTTATTAAGCTATCACACTACATACAACCATTAATCCGTTCTCGTTATACTCAATGGCCGATCTAGATATTTTGTACGAATTTCGTCGCGACAAGAATTTCCTTCTCTTTACAGACACACTCGTACATTCGCGGAAAATTGCACGCGAATTGGGATAATTGC